AAGCCGGTTTCTGGGGTTTTGTTTAGCTTCTTATTTGCAACATAGTACATAGTTGCTTAGAGTTGCAGCTGAGAGGCCGGCAAGTGAGGCGGGGAACGTTGGAGTCCGCAGCAAGCAAGCCTCATGCTCACTTCAGTGCCTGGCTGCTGGCCGCCAACTTGGCTGACAGTTAATTTGGCATATACTCCTGATTAGCCAATGAAAAGGGGAGCGGTCGTACGCTTATTACCATGTTTCTCTTTTATTAGTGTAGATTAGATACAGGCTTAGAAACTATTTCAACAAATATTTAGTGGCCATCCACTACATTTCCAGTTGTCTTCAATGAGTTAATATTTGGCAACTCCATTTAAATATGCATATTGTTCTATCAACATTTTTAAAATACATTAAAAACATCACTGTTGCCCAGCTGGTGTGACTCAGTGGTTGAACGTTGACCTCTGAACCAGGAGGCCGAGGTTCGATTCCCAGTCAGGGCACATGCCTGGGTTGCAGGCTTGATCCCCAGTGTGGGGCATGCAGGAGGCAGCCGATCCATGATTCTCTCTCATCATTGATGTTTCTATCTCTCTCTCCACCACTCCCTTCCTTTCTGAAATCAACAAAAATATAGTTTTAAAAATCACTGTTATTTAAAATATCACGTGAATTCTCTGATGTTTGCACAGGATCAGAGTATTTTGCAGAGCACTGGTTATTAATCCTGGCAGCACATCACTCAACAGCATCTTTTCTTCCTGTGAGAATCACCTCCCTTCTATGAAGATATTCTCCAAATGCCATAAATACAGGAGCTTATTCAAAAGGTGAACCAAACAAGGAACAAGGAAATACTCAAGCTAAGGCAGGAACACCTATGAAACCAAGAGTTACCACAAACAAGGAAGATATCCCAGATGTCCCACTGGGTGCTATTAGTGAGAGAAGTATAACACTGAGAAGGCAGTGGGCTATTTTAAGACTAATTGTGCTGCTTGAAGTGGAGATTAATAGTAGTTCACCCATGTAGTATCTAAACTCATGCATCAATTCATCCAAGAATTGTCCACAGTGCTTAGAGCATTATGTTAGATATTGTGAGGTTAAAAATAAAAGTACTATTTGGTTTGAATCTATTTTTCTTGCCCAATCTTTCTCTCTTATATTTTAAACCCAAATTTCTGATATTCTGCTAAATATCTCTATCTTACAGTGGTTTCTCTTAAAAGCCAACCCTGAGACAAGGATTCAAGTGCAACTAGTTTACTTAAGAGAAGATTTGCAGAAAACATTGATAAGGAATTGGGAATGTGAGACAGAGGCAAAGGGCGCATTTCCTAAGCAGTTCCTACTGTGGGCAACTAGAGTTTAATCCTGCAGGGAAACACTGGGAGTCAATGTAGAAGGGTTACCTGTATCAACCACCTCCACTCCTCCAGAGAGGGAGCTAGAGTGTATTTATAGATCAATTACTCCCATCTTTACCTTAGGCCTGCTGGGAGTGGGGAAAGGCAGTAATACTCTATCACTCTGGATTCCTGCTGGAGTATCGGGTAATGAATGGTCAACTTGCTGATCCATCCTCATATTGGCTTTCTCCCTTCCCTGTTTCACAAACCCTCTACTGCTAGCCTGCTCCAATGGATCACAGTCCCAAATAAAAATCTTTTTCTTCAGGTCTGCTTTTGCAGGTAGAACCCAGACTAAGACAAGGACTGGGTACTCTATCTTCAATTTTCCCACACTGAACACAATAAGTGCCATATGTCCATACTCTGTGGCAATGTCCATATTTCTGTAAAGTGGGTGAAAAGACTGAGGAAAGTGGACAAAGCTCTTCTGAAAGAAGGAGCCGGACAATATGCACAGATCTAGAGAGGTGCAGTGAGGCAATGACTTTCCATCTCTTTCATTATGTTTTAAAGCAGCAAACCTTTTTTTGCCCCACATGAAATCTACACTAATAAAAGAGAAACATGCAAATTAACCATCACTCGGCCACTCCGCTACACCCACAAGCCACGCCCACCAGCCAACCAGGAGCGAGTATGCAAATTAACCCAACTAAGATGGCAGCCATGGAGCTGGAGTGAGCAGGAGGCTTGGGTTGCCCCCTGCCCCCGGTGATGGAGGAAGTCAAGCTTCCCACCCACCCTGGCCAGCCCTGGGCTCCACTCAAGGCTACAAAGTTTCAATTATAGAAGATAAATAAATCCCAGATAATTGCTTCCAGCTGGCCATGGCCTCCGCCGCTCAAGGGGCTGAAAAAAAGAAAAATAAAAAAAGGAGAGGCTGGGAGCTTCGGTCGCCGGGGTGTGTGGCCAGCATGAAAACGGCCATCAGCCCCTCACCCAGGCTGGCCAGGCACCCCAGCGGGACCCTCACCCTTATCCAGGACCCCCTTCAAGGCAAACCAGGTCCCCCCCCCCATGCACCAAGCCTCTATCCTATATAATAAAATGGTAATATGCAAATTGACCCTAACAGCAGAATGACTGGTCACTATGACACACACTGACCACCAGGGGGCAGACACTCAATGCAGGAGCTGACGCATGGTGGTCAGTGCGCTCCCACAGGGGAAGCTCCACTCATCCAGAAGCTGGGCTCACAGTTGGTGGGGAGCGGGCCTAAGCCAGCAGGCGGACATCCCCCAAGGGATCCCAGATTGCGAGAGGGCACAGGCCATGCTGAGGGACACCTCTCCAGTGCACAAATGTCGTGCACCAGGCCTCTAGTATTACATAAAACTCCAGAATAAAAACTGATAAAATTGGAGCTAGGAAGCAGTGGAGTTGGTCTGCCTGAGTGAAGGTGGAAATTCCAGAGTTCTCACTGCCAGGCATCACAGTGGTGGCTCCTGAGGCATCACAGAGACCTGAGGAGGGAGGCCAATTTGAAAAGCACTGCAAGAGAGAGTCATTGCCAAAGCATGAGTGTTTGGTTATCACAAGTGTATATTTTCTCAGTGGTCACTTATTTTGAGAAAGGGGGCAAAGAGATTTTCTACTGTAGTGATTCAGACAAGCACATTCATTGAGACCAGGTCACAAAGGAGACAGGCTATCCATGAGAATTTCTGATGCTACATAGTAAACATCAACTTGCCACCCTCTAAGGGGATCATCTACTTCTGGAACATTAACTGAAGAAAATGTGATCAGTGGGAATGTCTGCTAGAAGTTATGCAAAAAGCAATGTCAAAGACATCAGAAAACAGGCCTAGCAGGGATTAGCTAAAGAGTTTGTAGTAGAAAAGTGTCCGGTCTGCTTCCTAAACACCATGATGTTTCATGGTTAGGAAAATGAAAGGGTGTGGTTCATTTTTTTTTTTTTTTTGCTTTTGACCCTACTTGCTCAGGGAAAGAGCTGTTGATAAAATAGAACATGCAACATGCTCTGATCATCTATTTTTATATATAAATATTACAAAGTTAGATTTCAGAAAGTATTATTTTCGCTTGGGTGGGAATCCTGAAAGTCATAATTCCAAGCTCCTCATGACTTAGCTGATAAGACTGAGGATCAGAAAGGTATGGCCGCTCTCCAGCATCACACAGGTGGTTAGTGGCACAGTCAGCACTAAAAATCCAGGACCTCTGGGACTGCTAGAGCAAGTGCATTTTCCTGTTTGCTGCACAACCGTTCTAGAAGTGCTGGGACTCAGAGGTCCCAGTATGTCTCTCATATTCAAATCAGTTATCTACACAAATTTAGATAATTTCCCATCTCATTTCTGCCTCCTTGGCCTGCATGATTCTCCAGTTACACAAGCACTTTTAAAGAAGAAAACAAAAAAGCAAAACCACCCTTTTCAGAGGGATTCAAAATGTGAACCACGTGTCCTCTGAATAGCAAGTTAAAATATGAGGTGCAAGTTTAGCACGAGGCACAAGTGGAAAAAGTTCTTTGGGCAAGGAGTCACTAAGCCAGTTGACCAGTTTTTCTAGTTCTGGATGAACCATAGTCAAATTAGAAAAGCAATAATGTGATCCAGGGCAGCAAAATTCCATTTTACCAACAACACTGAGATTCCTTGAGGCAGCTTTTTAAAGATGACATTATAGACAGGATTATTTCCCATGTGTACAAATATGGCTGGGGAGAAAAACACACACAGAGAGATATAAGGTGATGTGTGATGTCTTCTATCCTAGAAACAAACTTTCTTGTTATTATATATCTATACTTTTGAAAGTGCATTATAAAAACAGCAAGAGGGCATAATAGAAAAAGAAATGAAACACTGCAAGTCTTTTTTATGATGTTTCACACACAAAAAGAAAAATAACTCACAAAATCGTCAGATTTCTTAAAAGATGCAGTAAATATATACATTGTTAGCATCCCCATGACTCACTAACAAGATGTTGTCTGCAGGGAGGTGGGGCAGGAGAACTGTCACCAAATTCCAGTCAATGATCTATAGTACTTGTGACTACCACATGCACAGTGTCAGCTGGCAATTTATTCTGGCTGATGTAACCTGACAGAATCTTCTTCCTTTCTGACAACCAGTCCAGTGAGGAAGGTTAACACATTTCAGCTCTAATGAACAGAAGTAAACCTAGCTGTGGAATTTGGTTCTATCTTAGTCATGCCTATGCGTTGGTTGTGTTTAAAAAGAGCCAGCAACACAGCTCATGGCAGGCACTCAGACACTGGGACAGAAAGGAGGGAGTCACAGAGAGCAGAACAGTGGTTGGCAAACTTCAATGTGCATCAGAACCCCCTGGAGGCTTGTTAAAATACAGACAACCAAGCCTCTGACCCGTGCTTCTGATTCTGTGGGACTGGGGCAGACACAATCTGAAAATTTGCATTTCTAGCAAGTTTCTAGGTGATGCTGTCGTTATTGGTCCACAGGCCACACTGAGAACAACTAGAGTAGAACAGGGTCCCTTTTCCATCTGGCAGGTGACTCAGACAAATCCACGTCCACATCTGGAGACAGCACTCTCTACTCTGTGAAAGCCAAGTAGGCAAAAAAGAATGTACCACAGAGGGAGAGAATTTATTCTGCCAGAAGAGGCCAGGAAAGACTTGTATAGTAGGTGTTTTTCAAACTAGACACAAAGTGAAAAAGGCCCAGATGATGCTGAAGATGGCTTATGGATGATTGAGTACAAATGGTCTTGAGACTGATCTGTAATATGTTTTAGCAGTGGGATGGCTACTCCTTTTATTTTATTTTTTTAAAATATATTTTATTGATTTTTTAAGAGAGGAAGGGAGAGGGATAGAGAGTCAGAAACATCGATGAGAGAGAAACATCGATTTAGCTGCCTCCTGCACACTCCCCACTGGTGATGTGCCCGCAACCAAGGTACATGCCCTTGACCAGAATCGAACCTGGGACCCTTCAGTCTGCAGGCCGACACTCTATCCACTGAGCCAAACCAGTTAGGGCTGGCTACTCCTTTTATAACTAAATTAGTGGACCGGTGCAAAAAATTCATGCACAGGGTGGGGGTGTCCCTCAGCCCAGACTACACCCTCTCCAATTGGGGAATCCTTGGGGGATGTCCGAATGCTGGTTTAGGCCCACAGGGATCAGGCCTAAACCAGCAGTCAGACATCCCTCTCGCAATCTGGGACCACTGGCTCCTAACCGCTCACCTGCCTGCCTGATCTCACCCCCAACTGTTCTCTCTTGCCAGCCTGATTGCCCCTAACCCCCTGCCGGCCTGATCTTGACCCCAAGTGTCCTCCTCTGCCAGCCTGATCGCCCCCAAACTGCCTATGCCTCGGCCCCCAACACCATGGCATTGTCTGGAAGTCGGATATCCGGAAGATGGTCGGTCCACTCGATCAAATTAGCATATTAACATTTAGTACTATAGGTAGACTAGAGACCCGGTGCACAAAAATTTGTGCACTGGGGGGGGGGGGCCCCCCGGCCCGGCCCGGGCCCCCCC